GATGTAATTAGATCCAAATGAATTGTTGACCGCACCCATGGCCAGGATGCCTATATAGAATTAGCTAGATATTCACCTGCAAGAAGCGGGGCAGGTACGTACCAGTCAACATAAACCACCCGGTGATATAAGACAACTGCCTCGATACTCGTGGCGGCGCCAGCATAGCAACCCACGAGTATTGACCACCCGCCACTGGCCAGCGGGAACACATCTCAGCCATGGCCAGCGCAATGAACATGGTGAACACGCAGACTCCGATCCAGCCGAAGATCATGACTGGTGGGCCGCCTGCTTCGACGCCAATGATGAATACTCCACTTAGGGCTGTCCAGCAGGTTACGATGCTGAAGCTGAATCCTACCATGTCGAATAGGCTGAATGAGCGCTTGAATTCTTGTTGGTAGCCCATGTGTTCGAGGGCTACATCCTCGGTTGTTGAGGCATTGAATGCCTCTTTCCTGGTCATTATGTCGGGCGGAGTGACTGTAGACCATGTTGAGTGGCTATAGGGAGAATATAAGCTGCGATGTCGAGGTGTTATCTTGTCGTTGCTGATCGAGATAACAAACATCACATCGGAAACACCGACTTTGTTCCGTCTACGAAGTAAGGTATTGAGTCACGTTACATTGTTGTTACACGATGTTTGCTACTTTCTTTATTTCACTTTTTACTTCTCACTTTTGACCTCCTTTTTATCTCTTTTTGCCCATTTTCCAATACCAAAAACAACAGAATTCCCACCCTTAACTATAGACCCCGCGGTTCACATCTTTTCGGCCCATCCGAAACGCGATAGGTAAGATGCTTCCGATTTGCCAACAAGAAATGGCTTAAATACCGAAACGCCAGACAGATACTCTGCACGGCAACATGGCCCTAATATCCATCCCGACCATTGCACCGTGGCTACTAGCACTCGTAGCAGCCAGCCTGATGTGCAAGTGGGTTTACCGCCTCTATTACCACCCCTTGTCCCGCACTCCAGGCCCAAAGATCGCAGCCTGCACTTCCCTCTGGCTAGCATACCACACCTACATCGGCGATGAGTGCACGGTAGTCTTCAATCTACACCGTAAATTCGGTCCAGTGCTACGCGTCGCGCCAAATGATGTCGATATCGCCAGTGCAGACGCTATCGAGCCGATATACATCGCCCGCGGTGGATTCCCTAAGGCGCGGGCTTACTCGAAATTCGATATCGATGGCCACACTACTATTTTCTCTACGTTGACGCTCCCTGAGCGTGCCAGTAGAGCCAAGGCTGTTGCGTCGCTTTTTTCGACTGCTTCACTGAGACAGTCGGAGAAGGACTTGTCGAAGGTCTTTGATGATTTTGTAGAACGGCTAAGACGGGAGGCTGAGAAGGGAGACCCTGTTAATGTGCTTAATATTTCGCGCTGTATGGCTATTGATGCCGTGAGTACTTATCTGTTTCAGCATCGCTATGGGGCTCTTAATGAGGAGTCTGGAGTGATGTCAGCGTCACCTTTTGTGGATGCATTTGTTGGCGTTGGGGCGTTCTTCAATCTGACTCCAGGGAGGATGACGGATTTTGTCATGGCATTTGCTGAGAAGTTCATGTCAACTGAGACCACCGAGAGAGCATTCAGTCTTATGGACAAGTTTACTGGGCAGCTTGTCAAAGGCGCGGCGCTTGCGAAAGGTACAATACCTAAAAGTGGAAGCTATCAGAGCCGCCTATTGGAAAAACAGTCATTTTCGCAGTGTCAGATTGAGGTGAAAGATATTTGCTTTGCTGGGACGGACTCGACCAGCATGAATACCGCTACCATATTGTGGTTACTTGCAAAGAACCCTGAAATGTAAGACCAACGCAGTGAATAACGATCTAACACATCATAGCTCACATAGTTATTTAGATATAACCGGCTCCGCTCGGAAGTCCAGAACACAACCGCAAAGGGGGAGGATCCTGCATCCAGCAGCTATCTTCGGGGAACTATTCGGGAAGGACTACGTCTATCCTGGGCCAATCCTATTAGACTGCCACGAGAAGTCCCCCACGGGGGATGGAAATATCACCGATACTACTTCCCAGCCGGGACGAATGTCGGTGTATCTTCTTTCCAGCTGCATCAAGATGAAGCTGTTTTCCCAGAGCCGTTGCGATTTACGCCTGAACGCTGGCTGGAACCGACCAATGAGATGTTAAATCACTTTTTTGCATTTGGAAAAGGTAGTAGGGGGTGTATTGCGCAGAATTTGGGGACTTTGGAGTTGACCCTGGCAATCCTCAAGATTGTGGAAGCGGACTTGCTTCGTGGGTCGAGCATTGTTGGCAACGAGGCTATTCGACTCAAGGAGTGGTTTAATTCTCGGGTTGAAGGAGAGCAGATTCTGATCCAGTTTAGCAATCAAATCTAGATTCCCCGTAGCTGATTGTCTACAACTGGGATCATAAATGTGTAACTTATACAGTGCCACAACGTATTGGACAGTCTCTACACGAAAAGCCTCGAAGCAAGTATACCGGTTAAAGTTAGTGCATTGTTTTCGCCTTACTTTGGCCTATTTTGAGGTGTCTCGGGTTATAGTTGTTTAGAACTAACTTAGTAGGTTAAAAATGTAAAAGTAGAAAAGCCATAAAGCCCAGTATTGTCGAATTCAAATGTGCCTTAGTATATATATATAGAAGGAAAGAGAAGGCAACGCTTCATATATATATACATATATATATATAAAAAAAATGGGACGAGCCGGGATCGAACCAGCGACCTTGCGAAGACAAGACTGAAGCAACTTCAGTCGCACGCTCTCCCAACTGAGCTATCGTCCCATTAGGTAAGGATCGCCTCGAAATCTTGCTACAGGAACATGATTTTCTCAAAAATAAATAAACTAGCTAGTTCTAGCTATCTATAGTAATATCTAGAAAAGGATATTAGTAGTAATACCTTCATAAGTACATAAGAAGGACCGTTTACTCTTAAATTAAAATATTGAATAAATGAATACTTAGTCTGTATAGAGACTAAAATTTTTTTAACTTGATCAGAGAGAGGGGTTCGGAAAAATTTATATAGCATTATTCGAAATTTAAAAAACTTCTTTAAGAAAAACTGGGACGAGCCGGGATCGAACCAGCGACCTTGCGAAGACAAGACTGAAGCAACTTCAGTCGCACGCTCTCCCAACTGAGCTATCGTCCCATTACGTAAGTACGCTTCGGAATCTTGCTACAGGAACATGATTCTTTCAAAAATAAATAAACTAGCTAATTCTAGCTATCTATAGTAACATCTAGAAAAGGATATTAACGTAATTCACTACCGAGCCGCCACCTACTACCTGTTACGCACGACTATCGGGTCGTCGCTATGTTAGAAGATTCCTGGGTTATACTTGCCTGAATGCTTCCTTGCTTCCAACCCGAGTCAACGATCTGTCTCTCAACCGTACCGTCGCCAAATAGGCCTTATACGGGCTAAGTCCTTTCGAGGGTATCGAGGAGCGATGCTAGGTAGAGCGCCGAACTAACAAATACCGGGGTATAGGTCTATCCGTAGTGTTGTTAAGTTATAATCAAGTTATACGAGTCACCAAAGGTTCTAAACAGTAGACATAAGTAACAATGTATAGATTGAACCTAGAGGACTAAACTAGATATATGAATAAATTTCCTTATATATCCTAAGTCCTTCTATAGTAGAACAGTAGAAAGTAGAACAGTAGAACCGTTCTACTTGTCGACTATCGACCTTTCTACTACCTACATGATCACGTGCTCCTATGCCAGGAACTCAGTGTGGTTATAGCGGACAAAACGTGTTAGTGCTGAGCGGGCCGAAACTGGCCTTTTGGTGCGCAGAGGTTTTCTATCATATATAGCCACATAAGAAGGACCGTTTACTTTTAAATTAAAATATTAAATAAAGGAATACTTAGTCTATATAGAGACTAAAAAAATATATATAGAACTATTCGAAATTTAATAAAAAATTAAAAACAAATGAAAAAAATGGGACGAGCCGGGATCGAACCAGCGACCTTGCGAAGACAAGACCGAAGCAACTTCAGTCGCACGCTCTCCCAACTGAGCTATCGTCCCATCGGATAAATATCGCTTCGAATTCTTGCTACAGGAACATGAATTTTCCAAAATACATACTAAGATTTACTGGTGGAACCCGTGACTGACGCGTGTCCATTGGCCTGAGGTGTCGCAAATGCCACAAGAAGCTTGCATGTAGTCTTCTCCTTCTAGGGATAGCATCCTACTATCGTCAATATGACTACATTTTTTCCACTAGATTCTTCATTCATGATATAGCTTCAAGCTCAGCACTTCAGTCACTTCCTGAGACACCTCTCTATGCCTACGGTGGGCATGGGAGTGGTTGGTTGTCTTCTCTCCATTGATATCGACCCGTCTGCTATGTCAGACTGCCATCGTGCCATCCCCGTTTCACTAGCTAATTCTAGCTATCTATAGTAATATCTAGAAAAGGATATTAGTAGTAATACCTTCATAAGTACATAAGAAGGACCGTTTACTCTTAAATTAAAATATTGAATAAATGAATACTTAGTTTAGTCTGTATAGAGACTAAAATTTTTTTAACTTGATCAGAGAGAGGGGTTCGGAAAAATTTATATAGCACTATTTGAAATTTAATAAAAACAATGAAAAAAATGGGACGAGCCGGGATCGAACCAGCGACCTTGCGAAGACAAGACCGAAGCAAACTTCAGTCGCACGCTCTCCCAACTGAGCTATCGTCCCATTGGGTGATAGTTTCGCGAAACTTTCACATCACAACTCCAGCATGTATTACACGCCAATGCCAAGGCCGGAAACGGTCTCTATATATATTGCTACCTTCGAAGGCCGCAAGGTCTATCGGTACTCCTCTCGAAACACCATGATAACTTCCTTGCCTTTTCCATCGCTGTCCTCCTCAATGTAGGCCCGCCACATACCACCAGAATTAAAATCAAAGACTACCCTCCTGCAACGCAGCTGCCCGCTCAAAATGCCAGTAGTCGACGCAGAGTCGGCTCCAATCCCGACGATACCTCCTTTGCCCTCGCCGGTGATGTTCCAGCGCTATCCAGCCGAGCGCTGCAGTTCACCGCCAGGACCAGCTACGGCAGTTATAGCATCGGCGAGAGTAGAATATCGGCCTGGTGCAGAAAACCGTAGCATCGCGGCAGCTGCACGGGCAGCAGCAACACGGAGGAATGAATCTCCATTTCTAGTTCCCGACACAGCGATGGCACGTCTTGCGTGTTAGGGCTCGCTGGGTGGCACCCGGTACGGAGACTGCTTTTTAGAAGTAAGACCCGATGTACCAGTCTATGCAATGGTTGGAAGGGATGTATAAGCTGGATGGCGAGACTCTCTGAGGAACGAAGGCAAACAGTCGGCCAACCAGTCTTTAGCCTCTCGAAAAACGCCCCCGACCGTGGGGTACTGAGAAGACCCGTTGGAAGCACTATCCGATACCATCTCATCCCAAGCCTCAGCCCAAAACCCATCCCCTAGAGTCGGCGTATCCCCAATGCGACCAGTAAGTTTATTCGTCATACCACCCGTACTCGTCGCAACGGCCAGATTCCCCCACTGATCCAAACAAACACAGCCCACAGTCCCCTGGCTCATAGAAATAGGTTCAGCTTCATCCTTCAACCCACGTATATACTCATCCCGTGCCCTCGCGCTGGTTTAATACTGCTTGTTGGCTGTCCTCGGGCTCTCAGTTCTGCTCGTATAACACCTATTTTTTGTATCGATATACTGGTTCGCCGCTGCTTAGATGGCGACCCCTTCCGGGATCGGTTGGTTGATTTCGAGGACCTCCGGCTGTAGCGCTAGGCACCGAGAAGCTCGAGGAGTGCGTCAATATTATACCTGCAGAACATGGCCGATGGTATCCCTGCATGTGCTCCTGGGAAACTTTATTTGTCGCTCCGTCGGTCAGAGCCCCTAACAGAAGCTCGCATTTCTGCGGGTTTAAAAGCAGTCTCCTTTTGCTGGCACGGAGTATGAAGACGCCGAGGACCGACAGGCTCAAGTCGTTGGATCCTATGATTTTTGAGAGCTTATCGCTCTCAAGGCTATTAACGAGCGGTGCTGTGGTGTTGTACCTAAGCTACTGGGATATTAGCTTACGAGGCAAAGCATGACCCCCAACGTTTCCTATCGATCCAAACCAACTCATGTCAGGTTCGGTCTCGTCCGAACAACCACGGCCAGTGATCAGTACTTTCCCATCATGATCACAGATTCGTATTTAGATGACAAAGATTGGAGATGGTGAACTGAAGCTTTACGATAGTAGTACAAACTACGCTGAATAAGTATTTGCTAGTCGCTATTTCCAGCTGATTAGCCAGAATTAAAGCACTTTGCTTCACATTAAAGAACGTGATATCATTAGATTTAGATACTAAGCAGCTGAACCTGTTCGACATAGTTCTCCAACCCAAGGAAAAGCAGCAGGAGTCAATGTAGGCACGGATAGTCAAACCCTCCAGGTGATGGGCCTTATTAAATTACTCGTTTCCACCCAATAGCCAACAAGAAAGTTCAAACCCCATCAAGGCTTCGAAAGTTGCTCCCGCCGGAAGAAAAGAAGGAAGCCGCAACTGCAGGTAACAAGATGTCAGCAAGAGAAGCCACTTTATCTCTCAAGTAGGAAGTCGTACCATATCAAAAGCTGTAACAAAAGCGCAATCCAAAACCAAGCGTTCGCCAACGCCCCCACCCCAGCAGTAATATCGGGAGATATAGGCCCAGGACCAATGTTATTCGGTGCAAACGACCGAGCACACATAGTCGCAATGGAACCAATAACCTGCGACACAAGAAGCGTGAAGCATATATGCATGCGCGTCAGTGTTTGCAGGAGAATCATGCCAAATCCGAGACCTTGCAGTGCATCCAGCACACCAAGCCAGAGCCATAAACTGCGCGAGACCAATGCACCTGAAGTATAGCTACCGGCCCAGGGGAGGAATAGGCCTGATGAAGATGTTCCCCACCATATCTGTGCCCAACGTGGTGCTCCTAGACCGCAGGCTACCACCGGGAGGATCCAGCTGTGGGATTTGGACAGCCTGGCTAGGAGAAACAGAATTGCTATCCAGACAAAACCAAAGAACAATACGCAGAGGAGGAGGATTTGCCAGGAATTGGCGTGTTTGGATATCCAGAGGACTAAGCCGAGGTTAGTGGACTGTATGGCTAATTCTCGGAAAAAGGGATGTGGTGTTTCTACTTTCATGGGAACTCACAATTCCAGTTTCGACCGTATGGAGCACTGAGGAAGAAGTTCTGGAGAATCACGACAATCCAGTTCCAGAGTACGATCTTGCGTCGGAAGACGGATTTGTAGAATGATGGAACTTTGCCTGGTGTTTGGCGGTAGTAATTTGGCAGACCGAAGTAGATGAGCAGGCCAATACCCCACAGGAATATCATGATGGGCGTGCAGATAGCTCTAGGATATGTGTTAGCAATTATTCAACATTGATAGTGAAGTGAATATGGTACGCACGTCATTACCCAGGTGTTTGTGATACTGCTTTGAGAATTAGTGTTACCAGCACTGCTCGCTTTCGTCAAAGTCGAGCCCCAGTACCAAAGAGCAATAACATATGCCTGTTGCGTGCCTTGAATCACACAAGCCCGGAACACCCACTGCTTGACGGGGGCACCGCTCTCATCGCCGAAATTGAGAGCGAAGAATATAGAGCCACTGGAAGAAGCGGCGGCATAGATCCCACTTCCGACATTCTGGATCCACCCGCGGATGTGTGCATCAGGCTCGAAGTGTGCCATGCCGATGATCATGAATGCAGTTCCGTATAAGAACCATGGCACTGTGAGGACAAGCACTGATTTGCAGAAGCGGAAGAAGAACCACCACAGAATCGAGGTAATCAAGTATACGGACGCGATTCCATATAATTTTGCGGCGGTTTGGCCCACCTCTCCTGTCAGAAGTGTGATCTGGTAGGAATTGGCTGCGATGATCTGGCCCAGTCCCAGGAAGAGAGAATACACAGGCCATTCCCCGAGACGCATTTGCATCCACTTCTTCAGGCCTGTCGGGGGAACATAGTTATCACCAAGCATGAATTCATCTAGTGGGCTGTCTTTCCTCTCGGGCACAACACTATCGTGAGACGTTGCATCGTCATTCGTAATAGATCCAGTCGGGGAACCTCCTTTGCCAAGGTGCATTGAACCAGATGGAGATCCTTGATTGCGGCCCAGGCGTGCATCGCGGAATTTGTTGAACCACTTCTTCTCACTCTTTTCAAGATATTGCTCAATGCAGAGTTGATTGTCGGAGTTGGCTCCATTCAGTTCCTCGAGCCTCTTTTCAAACTCTTTGTAGTATTCGCCGTTGCTATCCGTGAAGAATGGATCGACTTTTTGAAGTTTGAAATCTTTCTTCTCTCCAACAACTGAATCAACAGACAGGGCCGATGAGCTGCTCAACCGACTTCCCGACCCTGCCCATGGACGCGATGGTGGGATAAGAGTATCATCGGTTCCTGCTGTACTGGGAGCTGTCGAGCTCGACGGTGTGTTGCTAGATCGAGCCAACTGGCGTGCCAAGAGAGCCTCCTTGGTGAAGGCAATACCAGGGGATTGAGGGCTCTGCCCACGTGCTGCATCCACTCCGTCAGGCGATATGGGATAATCATCATCTCCATAGCAAGTTGCCATTAGCTCTTCATCGCTATCCTCTTCAGCGTCAGGGGACGCCCTGCCAGTGCTGTCATCACCCTCAACAATACTTCCCTTCCCGAGATCGCGTCTGCCTCGAGGCTCCGTGCTACTTGAAATTGGTCGAATACCAAAAGGCACCTGGCGACTGAGTCCTGATCTAGGTCTGGAATCGGCGCCAGGACTTGGGTCCCGACTGTAGATAATGGAGCTTCGCTGCAGTGATCCCATTGTTGCTGGGCGACTCGATGGTTGCATTGGAGGAGTTGATGCACCCGATCTTGTCGACGCAGCCTGTGGAGTCATCATTCCGTAGATGGCGTTGTATGCACCCGCCGCCGTAGACAGATTCTGAGCTTTGGCGCGTTCCTTATCATGAACTCGAATGGATGTTGACTGAAGAATCTCTAAATCCTCGACCCACTGGGCAACCGGGAAACGCTGTTTGGCGGACCTTGCGCGCATCATTGCTCTCACTTCGGATCTGGAATTCAAGGCGCTGTCAATGGCGAGCTTGAACTGTTTTAGCAAATGTGAGGTGGTTGTAGATTCGACTGTATACCACCACCCTGGCATCTGTCCAAGCCCGCCTACCCTGGCGCCAATACCGAGGGCACCTTTCCTTCCAAATTCAACTGCGACTAGGCCAAAGGGTTCGTCTCGCGAAGGAATCAGTGCGAACTCGGCACCCGAGAAGATGAATGGTGGCAGGACCGTGAACTGAGGTTTGGAGCATACCCTGCTAGGATATAGCTTCATCATTCGGGCCAGCTTCAATGCAGCGAACTTGCCATACAAGTCAATCAGAGGCCCGACGCAAATTAGTTGAACGTTTGGTCGCCCTTCCAAGACACTGGGTAGCACGTCGGCGATAAGGTCGATTCCTTTTTGCATGGACCATCTTCCAACGAAGACCAATAAATCGGCATTGGGGTTCTGTTCAAGACCAGCCCACTCTTGAGCCTGGCGCTTGAGCTCTGCTCTACGAGTCTCATAATCATTGTCGACATTGATGTCACTTTCTTTTGGAAATTCTCGATTCCATCCACCGGTGTCGGAAGGGTCAGGATTCGGAAGGTTTCCAACTTTTCTCAAGCCCCAGAAAATTGGGTAGCGAGCATAAGAGCGTTTGCCGTACTTTTTGAGACTCCCACTGCCCCAAAGCCTTGCTGATGAAGACGAAGATAGCTTGCACCGGCATGCAAAAGGTTGAAGATCTCACCGAACTGAACATAGCGCGTGGCAACGTCCAGATCTAGATTGAATACCGAGCACACTTCGGTCTTCTCCTTCTGTGTCCGCATAGGCCATAAGCCCTGGAATTCGGCATTGTGGAGTGACAAGCAAATCGGGATAGTTTCGGGTAGCAGATACAAAGGAGCGACTGAACCGTGATAATCATTGATATGATACAGTTCAACGGGAAACCGCTCCATCGTTTGCGCTATGCACTGATTCCAGGCCGAGTAATATATGGCGCTATCGAGGTCATCCATGCGGGCCGGGTAGGGCTCTGTAACAGACTGTTGCCGGAAGACAGGGGCATCCAGGAGA